TACTGTAAAAATGTATTAAGTTCAAACTTATATGTATATTTTTCTCCAATTTTTACATTGCACAAATCATTATGTAAAACTACAAACTAAGAAAATAATTTTTTATATTATTAATAAACATTTTAAATTAATTATCACCAACTGTGCCTATATAGAAATACACTATATAATATAGACCTAATTAATATTAAGTATTCTAAATATTGAATAAAAATTTGAAATTATTAATAAACCGCTTACCAATGGCATTCCATGAATTAATTCCTTTATCGCCAAATTCAATAGGCTGATTTCGTGAGATTGAAACTTTTAATTTAATACCAGAGACTGTAGTGGCGTTCATCTATATAAACATTAAACATATGTATGGATAGTAATAGAACATTTGTATATAATACAAATTTAGAATATTTAGAATTAATTACTTGAGATACTGCTTTATCAGCAGTTTCTGGGGAGTTGAATGTGATGAACCCTCGACTAAAATAAAATTTGTTTTATGAATTCGATTTTTAAGTAAGTAAAATATTAAAAAACTCACTTTTTTTCTATTTCCATGGATATATTAATTATTGTACCAAATTTACTGAATGTGGACCTTAAAAATTCTTCAGTCATTGAACTACTTCCTCCAACAAATATAGTGATGTCCTTACGAGTAGGTTGTTCGGGAACTGGTTCTGGTGAGCTTGGAGCTGGTGGAGTGGTTTTAGAAGTGGAAGAAACAAAACTACTATACAAATTCTGAAAACATAAGCAATTTTAAATACATAACTCGTACATAACTAAAACTGCGGATTATTCCAAGGTGATATAATATTACACATACAGAGAATTTAGTGGTTGGAGTCGCTTTAGGAGTGCTATCTGGAATGACATCAGTTTTGATGACCGGTGAAGCTGCTGAAAAGGGTTGATAGCTACTTAAAGCCTGAGTAGTGATCAACAATTTGCGTTCCATTCCACAAGGTCTCTTAAAAGATTCCTGGTCTGTACGATTGGGTACTTTTTTTATCGGTCCTATAGCACCAGACTTCAATAGTTTTTTCGCTATTTCCCTTGCATCACGAGCTGTTTCTTTGGGCCTTTTGGGATTGAGTACAGGTGAAGGCTCAGGTTCAGGTCGAGGTGTTTTTTGCACTTGCAATGCTTTTTTCTGGATAAAGTGAGAATACAAGTTAAGCACGGAGAGCTATAATCCGACGTTTGAATATGAACAAAATTACCTTTTTTCTCAATTTTTGATACTTGTTTTGCAGCATGAGTTCTTCTTCAGTCAGATTCGTCGGAAAGTGTAAGTACACCATCTCGACGCACGATTATTCGGATGTTAATATGCGATTTACGATAAAACTGAAAGACTACCGTAGTCTTCTATTGCAGTATTGCACTAATAAGTAATGAGTGATCACTGATCACAGTTTGAATATTGCTTGAAAAATCAAAAAATGCATTAGCCGATATTTTTCCATCCGTTTGGCGTTTGCAGACGATAACGGAAAGTAAACAAATATGATACCATTATCAGCGTCTACGATGATGAACACGAGCCGATCCATAGAGTAATATTACTCTATGAGCCGATCACTGCAGCTAATTCCACTCCTCACGCGCATGCGCGCACCATAAACTACCATCAACATGCCTTTAAGGACCGTGAAACAAAAAAAAAATCATTTTTTTTATACCTTAGTCTAATATTAGAAATTAAAACTGAATTATACTTCTTTTCAAAAAATGATCCGATCACTCCTGTAGTCCTGTGTCAAATAACGATCGTACGTATACGCATGACGTCACTGGTGCGCACGGAGTTGTGCCGCCGTATTATTTTAGGCGGTAGATATTTACATGGTGTATTATAAACACGTAATTTCTAATTTATCTATACGACTGTCGACTATACTTATTATTAATTAGTAATTATTAATTGTATCGTTAATACTTAATTTCATAGGAAATCGTGTATGTATTCCAGCATGTGTTGTG